AGCAAGGCAAGTTCGCAGCAATGTCAAGGTCATGCTAACTGCCTTTTTTGACTCCAGTGGCTTAGTACATCACGAGTACGCACCACACGGTACTACAATCACCAAGGAGTACTACCAAGAGGTTCTGCGTCGCCTTCGTGACGCAGTGAGGCGCAAGCGCCCGGATCTGTGGGCAACAGGCAGTTGGAAGCTCCATCATGATAACGCTCCCGCACATTCTTCCCATTTAATTCAGAACTTCTTGACAAAACACAGCACACCAGTGGTTCGTCAACCTCCCTACTCTCCTGACATGGCTCCCTGCGATTTTTGGCTTTTCCCAAAGCTGAAAATGCCACTAAAAGGGACCAGATTTCAGACCAGAGAAGACATTATGCAGAATGCGACAGACCATCTGAGAGCCATACCGAAGGAGGACTTCCAGCGATGCTTTCAACAGTGGCAGAAGCGTTGGGAGAAGTGTGTGGCAGCCCAAGGGGACTACTTTGAAGGGGATTTGTATTAAATAATTATATCATAATAAACGTTTATTTTATGAACAAAAGTCGGATACTTTTTGATCACACCTCGTATATATATATATATAAATATATATAAAATCAAACAATTTAATTGTCAATTCTGGCGGCTAGAACAGTAATAAAGTAACGAGTTATTAATATATTCATAATATCTTACTTTCCTAACAGATATCCTACATATACAAGGTTCCAAAACACCAGTTGATGCATTAGCTGTCATCTTACAACCAAACTGGAACTTTGTACCCCATGTCACACAGTTATTCTTCACTTCTTGTCTATAAATATAATTTTTCCAAATTTTATCAACAAATAATACATTTATACAAAAATAACTGTAACAAAAATTACATGTACAGCAAAAATAACTATACAATAAAATATACAAAAATAATACAGCATTTTTTTCCTCTACTATTTAAAAATTAAAAATGTTGGATAAATGGTTAATTTAAAAGAAACGTTTAACAAAAACTTATTTCAATAATAGCAAAAACAAGTGGACCAGTAAAAAATACATTACAGTTAATTTGACCATATCTACTGCTTAAATTTTGAGGAACAGTATCAAGAGTATAAATTATATAAAAAATTATCAAAACCAATTATGTAAACAAAATTGATTAGTGAAAATTATTATGCATTTAATTAAGGATATCATTCAGATTTGTTGAAAACTTAGTAAGGTAAACAAACTTTTTATTTTAATTAAATCAATTTATGGAAAAAGAAATTTGAAAATTTTCACAGTGATGCAGTGCATTTTAACTCGCTACTAAGTTGGCATCGTGCTTGAATTATGTACCGTTTTAAGCAATACAGCAATATTTTTAACAGTACAAAATAATTCATGTAGAATAATATGAAAGATGAATATAAAAATTTAAAAATGAACATAGCTACCAAGACAGATAGGAAAAAATTCAGTAGATGGCAGAATAAATCTCATGATAATTGTTGCAAAATATATGAAATATTTTACACATAGGGAATTTTAGAGACTTTTATATGCATCAAAGTAGAAAAATTGCAATATCTTCCAGTTATTATTTCACATTTAGTGAACTTGAAATGTATTATGTATATTCATAATTTTGAATAGTAATAGGCATTTAACTGATCAAAAATAGTTAACAGAATTTTATAAATGAGGCTCGTTTCCTTATGTATTAGAGACATTTACTTAAATATTCAAACAATCAATAATCTGCAAGAAAATTCTATTTCATTAGGGAATTTTTAAGGAACCAAACTCAATTTTAGGGAATTTTAAAAAATTTATAAAATCTAGGAGAATTTTTATGGGGTGTCTGCTACATTTTCAAATCCATGATTAATTCCTACCATTTTTCATGACTTAACGAAGTTACTATTTTCTCCGACAAAAACACAACAAGAAATTTAAAAAAGCATTATAATAACATAAATTGAAATGATAGATATAACCAAAACTGTTATACCTCTGCATCTTCATATTTAAAGATTTTAAATTTAAAAAAAAAACAGAGTAAAGAAAGAGTTGAAGCAATAAAACAGTTGAAAAAATACAAAAGCAAATTTTCTTTCTTTCTGCAGAATTATATTCTAAAGATATTTTTCATGTTCATCCGAAAGGAAAGAAATACTCCTGATTTTTCTGTTCTCATTTCAGAATTAAAAAAAATTCGCCAGTGACTGGCTTGCTTCAGCTAGAATTTTAAATTGATAAAATAAAAATAAAAAATAGCAAAAATTCTGAAATCACAGAAGCTTAAAAGATAATTCGCTCTAGAAATGATGTTCTTTCTTTCATTTTTTGAAAGAACATAACTTTTAAAGAGAGTGATAAAAACATTTTACGTTTTAATAAAATATGACTGTGAGTGGGGATTTTATTACAAATTCAGATATTCGGAGCACCATGAAATGGGGCGTATTTTTAAATTCCATTTTAAAAATTAGATTTCTCAGCGACCTAAATCCATGACTTTCCATTATTTTCTTAAAAAAATAGTTACCCTGTTTTTATTAAACCAATAGACCAGGAGAAACTGGTAAAATCCAGTAGAGTTGGCAGCTATGAATGAATTGAACACATCCCCCCCCTCCCAGAAACATGAAAAAATGGATAGTGTGGAATAAGATGAGAATATATAAATTACTATACATTTAAATTTAATTTGAAAAAAAAAAGATCTTACTTCTGTGAAGATTCTGTAAAAGTTCCCCCATCCACCAATCGTACTTTGGCAAATAAAATTCCATTAACAAATGGAACAGCGGAAAGTTCTTGAAGAAATAGATCTACTTTAAACTTATACTTCTTTTTTTTCAGCATGAAAGACATTATTTATGATAAGTTATTTTATCTTCACATAGACATCATGAATACCAAAATTGCTTCAAAGTTTGCTGGAAAAAAAAAGAAACTTTAAAAATAACAGATAAATGTACAGATGAAATATTAAATGTAAATTAAAAATTAACACAACACTAAGTGGTTTTCAAAAGAAATAGGATTTTTTTTTTGGGGGTATTAGTATTAAAATAATGTTATAAGGGCAAAAAAGGAGTACACAATCAGTGGCGTAGTTTTACTGTATATTCGGCGGGGTTATCGGTTAACTTTTTTATATCTACATCCTACTTACCCTACAATAGTCTCTCCGAGTGCCCAACTTTGGGCAGGCCTGAATAAATCTATTTCTTATCCTACAATAGTTCATCATGCAAGTAATGTTTAATTGTCCCCCAAACCCTCCCCAAAACTATGCCACTATTCATAATACAAATGAACACTCCATACTAGCTAAACTTTATAAACTAAAAAAAAATCACAAGAAAGGATAAACTTGAACTATATAATATAACTACTCAAACTGAAAATTCTGCCACCCAAGCAAACTACAACACACACACATACATATAATATAAATATATATATATATATNACTATATATAAATATATATAATATATATTATATAAATCATATATAAATATATATATATTAGTTTTTAGAACTATGAAAACCTCTTGTCATGGGATAGATTTATGAATCAGTGTCTGTTTAAACCAACAACAGTCACTAAGGCACCCAAGGGGTTTTGTATTTACAAAAATTAAAACAAAAATATGTAGTGGCTTGAACAGTACTGGCTACGAGTTACACTCTTGGAGTATACGAGTTATACTGGTGCTGCTTTTTATTCTCCAAATAAGCATCACCAATACTGCACTGCAGTAATTAAAAGATTATTTCTCCATTTAAAATAATACAAGATAAAATTTTTTTAAAAAACATCTAAGCTAAGACAACAGCAAAACTGATACTCATACCTAAACATTTCTAAAATTTAACTGAGATTACATAAAAGAGCTTGCTTAGAAAATTTATTTAAACATTTATGTCATATCTCGGTGATGGTTTGAATTTATGACAGCAAATTTGAACTTCAATTAGTATTAAATAATATATATCACTGGTAATAACTCCATAATTTAAATGGATACAGCTCTGCTATTTATACAAATCTTGTAGACATTTTATTATTAGTACATAACTGCAAAGAATAATTACACTCTTAATAAGCTAACAAAATTTTGTAGTATAGAAGTACTTGTTTTGATAATGTTAGTTTTTACTTAAAATCTGGAAAACAATAATAATACACAGAAGTAAATTCTAAATATCTTCAATGTTAAATTAATATAATAGCAAAAGTAATTGCATAAGTATAATTTTCAATTCACAGATCAGTAACTAAATATTTTTCTTTCTTTTTTTAAGTGAACTAATAAAATAATAAACGAAAAAATTACATAAAATGAAATACTTTTCCTGTTAGTTATTTATCAATTTCACTTAACAAACACAATTAATTTAGACTTAAAATTAGGGTAACCACACCTCAGATAAAGCCCACTACAACGTTAGAGATAGGATAATCATCTGATTTTATTTTAAAATAAAATAAAATAAGGCAATTATGTCAAAAACATACCCGTCATTCGAGGAAATTCACGAAGGATGACAAAATGTGAGGAGCCTACTCATTTTGACACTTCAAGAGGAAAATTTTTAAGGTAACAAAAATAAAAAATAAATCGATCAGACAAAAATAGAAATTTATAAGCCCATTAGGTATACAATAGCAAATTGTGTCGTATTAATATATAAATTTCGAAATAAAATATATACACAGCTGCTGATAAAACAAATTAAAAAACACTTCTTTCACTTCATTTACATTAGTTACAGAAAATACCATCGAAAATACAAGTCATAAAAATTAAATCGTTCGCAAAGCAATAAAGATTTCATTGAGAAGCAAAAATTCCTGACCTTTTTTTTAAAACTTTTAATGAAATCGTCAGAAAAAAAGGGGAGAGAAATAATTTTTTATTTATGATTTGATGTTTGTAGGCTTAACAACACCAACCAAATCATACATACAAATAATTAGCTGCTCAAATTTTACGAAAATTTGAGTACAAATTAATCTGTCAAGTTTTCACCGTTTAAAACTATTTTAATGATGTTTCTATTTTTATCAATTACATAACATTTTTCTTTTTGTTTACGCCCATGGCTGTTGCCAACATCTCAACTCTTCAATTGGCCTACACGCGTGTTTTGGTCTTTCAAATTGAAAATTTATTAATTTTACTTAACTATAAAATTAATTTTTAGCTTTTGAAAGAATGAATCAAACGTAGTTCTAATTTATACTTCTTCTAATAATTGATTATTTTCTTAACTCAATGAAAATGAGTTCGAGTTATCAGCATACATCTCATAATTTTGATGAATTAATTCCCCAAGAGCAACGAAGGTTGGTCAAACTTTTTAAACAACTGGACACAAATAGTGATGGAAAAATTGATGCTGAAGATTTGGCAAAAGCGTTTAAAAGTATGGGAATTCCATACCACCCTGATGGGGCGATTCAGGTATATTTTTTTAATGCAGATTCACTATTGTATATTTTCTTAATTACTTTCACCTTTAGAGTGTCTTGAATTGTTTACTAATTATTAACAGTTTTTATTTGTTAATAAATAGTTCTATTATTGAATAATTAATAATGAAAATTCATATGGATATGGACACCTATATTTTTAATTTCATATTTCTTATTTTTTTTCCACCAATGGAAACTGTGATGAGTTGTTGGAATTTTAAAACTGCATGACTTGATATAATATCAAACTACATGAAACATTTTTATCTAACAAAAAATAATTCACTCCCCATTATTAAGTGAAAAATAGTTAATTATTTGTAAAGCTCCACTAAAATTTATGGGTGAGGTAACAAGTTTATGAACTTGCACATTAAGAAATTGCAAAAAGTGTTGCCGCTTTTTCCATATGGGGAGTGCTCCATATGAGGAATTACTGGTATGAATTAATCCATTTAAAATTTTTTATTACCTATTAAATGGTGAAATGTATAAAAAAAGAATTTGACAGATGCAGAAGAAGTCTACAAAATTCTACGCCCTGGGGTTAAAATTTATTTCTAAACCAGCATTACCGATTTCGCCTTAGAGATTTAAATGATTAGAATTGATAATTTTTTAGCATCTGAAATTAAACGCTGTAAAATATATATTTTGCTAAAAGTTTGATTAGGTCTTTTAAGTCAGTTTGTTGTTTCTTAGTTTATCTTATGATCTAAAACCAATTTTGTTAAATCTTAAGTCAATTTGTTATGTTAAGCTGTATAATATGTGTTAAAAGGGTTTTCATTTACTTTTAACACAAATCATAAGTTTTTATTACACATTCTAATGGAACTGATATTGGTTTCGTTCACAATTTTCCTGTCCACTGTCTGTACTTAGATACTTTAAGTATGTGATCAATTTTTCGTGCTTTTTAAATGTTAGGTATTAATATGAAAAAGCTGGAAAAACCTTTCCTAATTTTTATGGACAAATTAGCTGGATTGTCAAAATTACTTTATACTCTGATATTCACAATTTCATCGCTAGAACTACTGCTCGGTTATTCGCTTGAGTAACAAGCAGTATCTCTTATATCTTTTGAAGCATTTCCAGGATGCTCTATAAATAGAAACAAACAGATCTACTGATGCCTAAGATTTTTTTTCTCCCAGATATATTCAGATATTTTTTATCCGAAATAACAGGTTAAAATATATTAAGATATTGAGAACAATTAATTTATTTATTTTTGACGTTATGGTGATGAGAATTTTTCTTACTCCTGATAATAAATAATGTTGCCTCAGTTCCACCTTCCTAAAATTATGAACTTCGTTTTTTTTGGGGGGGGGGGNTGACATATTCAGTTTCGCATTTACTGAAGTATATTTTCTTCTTTAAATCGGTACTTTTTTACTGCTACTGTTTGTCTAAGATAGGTACTCTGACAGCCACTAAGTCTGTGGCTGTCTGGTGCTATGGAAGCAAGAAGAGGGCATTTTAGGAAGGGTAGCTTTAATGATGAAGTCTCCTTTTCTCTCGACGAAACCAGTCCTAAAGAGAGACTCTGCACCCCTACTTGAAATAATGATACCTCGTTACCATGGTCACCGCCACAGCTCCAGGCGAATGTCTGGCAGAGTACCTATCTTAGACAAGCAGTATTAGACTATTAACTTAGTGTCGACTGAGTTCTAAGAAATGTAATATTACTCAATCAAACAAATTGAGTTTTTAAGAAATAATCCCGAAACTTATGATTCCCTTTGATGGCTCAATATTATCTCAAATGCTTGTGGTACTCTGGTTCAAAAATTAAATACAAAAAAAAGTTCCTTTTCTTTTGAAAGGACTAGAAAAAAAAAATTTTTTTTTTAAAAAACTTAATGAATTTTTTTAAAATTATAATTTCTTCAAAAGTGTCCTTATCTTATGTATAAATTGATTGCTCACTGCAATGGGTTTAAATTGTATTATTTTTTGAAAGCTTTCCCAAAGGTATAATATAATGAAATGTACTTGTACTAAATGAGAGGATCCACCCCTGCTTGTTTCACCTGTAGGCCCCCGCAATTGCTTTACAGTTATTTTTTTCTTCTTGACGATAAGCAAATTGTTGGTTCAAAACTATTAACTTCAGTGTCTATTCTCTTTTTGTCAAAACCTACTTCGTACAAACGATGTACAACATTTTGTACCAAAATTCTGTTCATTTGAATTGAAATATTAATAATGCATAAAAATTGAAAGAAATTTATTTTTTTCAGCTCTTTTATATGCTTTTATTTTATTTGTTTCGTATCATTTCAGTGCATATGTTGTATATAATATATTTTTGTGTGTTTTTGCTAACTTTTTCGTAAATCTTTATTCGACGATATTCTGCCTTTTTTCCTATTGATAAACTTACAACTCTACTTGTGCCTCTTCATCCAGCTTGAACCATAAGACCTCTATCATGATAATAAAACCGTCACACCAAAACCTTAAAAATCGCATTTGTGTATTGATTTGAATATTACTACGCATTCCAATTTTAAACAGCGCAGTGCCTGTTTGAGGGTGAGATCAAATGTAAATACTTTTATTCAATTTGACGTATGTTATGTTTTAAGCAAACCCTTTTATTATGAAAATTCATATACTTGAAATATAGACGAATCTATAGAAAAGATGCGCTGGAAGCTCTGCGGATGTAACAACATTCCAAATTTCAATAATAGAAAGAAATATTAAATATTTTAAGAATTATTTAATTCCGTCATTCTTTATTTTAAAAAAAAAAAGTCATTCTTGTTTTTAAAAAAGGGCTAGTATGAGTATTTCAGTTTAAATGTCAAATTAATGTAATTTTTAAGTTTAAATATTTATTGCTAGAAGTGTAGATCACTCAGAATCCTTTGCTATTTTATAATATTGAACGTAATGCTTTTTATTAATTAATTTTTTTACTTTTCTTTTTACTTTCAATTCTTTTATGCATGATGATTTATTCATAGTTGCCTTATTAATTTTTGTAGTAATGTAACTATTAATTGATTTCATGCATGAAATTCATAATTTGTTGAAAGTTCTTGTTTTTATTTAATAAGGGAAAAAAACTGGTATGACAATACTTGAAGATGCTCAACTATCTTTAGAGAGACAAAAATTAAATCTAGAAAATACCTCACTTGATAAAAAATGCTTCATTCGCTTCTAAAATATTCTATAATATATTACATATAATTGGAAATAACAGTGGACATGTTAGTGCTCAAAATTGGTATCCTATTGGTGCCTAATGAAATTGGTATCCTATTTTTGAGCGCTTGAATCATGTTGACTATTATTTCCAGTCTGTATATTTTTAAAGTGAATGGTTATTTTCAATTTAATCAAGTAATATCTAACCACTATAGTTTCTTGGGATTATTTATTATAAAGTGCCTTGTTGAGATCCAACATTAACCTAAAGCTGTAGTCCTAATAAATTGAAGGTATAATTAGATTTTGTTTGAAAGAACTAATATAAATAACTTATAAATCTGTTGAATCTTTTCACTTTTTGTGGTGAAAATGAAAATGAAAATAAAAAAGTAATAATATTTAAAATAGTTTTGTTCTTTAGTATGCAAATTTGTGCTTTAATAGATGTAGTTGCAAAATTATAACAACTAATTTATAGGTATGTAATAAAAAAAAATAGAAAATTAAAAAATTTCATTTACTGCAGAAGTTAACGTTTACTATCATTTAATTATTCAAAAACCAGAATCTGCTACTTATATAGTATCAGATAAATGTGACGGTTGTGTGATTGGAATCTGTTACAATCTGATACTCTTGAGAAAGGCTGAACAAGTTCACTAACTTACATACTGTCAGGGTTGGCAAGATTTTGCCGCAGGTGGAAAATAACCGGTGAAAACCGTCCTGGCAAAAACAAGTTTTTGCCAAGCAAAGTGGCAAAAGCCTATATTTTCCAAGATGAGAGGACAAAAACACATTTTTGATACAAAATAATTCCTAAAATTGAAATATTTACCATAAATATATATAATTAAAAGAAAATTAACAAAATTATTATTCCATAATTAAATCATAATGTATTAATATATCATTTTTGTAGTTTAAAACATTATTGATCGGAAAATTAGTGATTATTCTGATTCTCTTTTTTCCAGTAAAATGAACTTATTTTAAATTAATATAACTATAATTTAAAGCTTAAAATATCTATCAACATGCGATACAAGTATCGATGCATTTTTTAAAATTTGCGCAAATTCAATTCTTTAATCATCATCACAATACAATTTGTGCTGTCTCAACATAGCATGACAGAACACTGGTTTTGAAACATTATTTACAGTCAACCTATTCCGAATTTTAGAATGTACAAATTACAAATGAAAAGTTCGAAAACACGCTTTCAATGGCAGCACTACTAGATGAGTGTAAATGAGACATTAATTCACAAAATTCTCTGGAAATGATATAATGTAAAATACCAAAAGTTATTATGAAGTAAAAAAAATACTATTTGTAAAAAAAAAAAACATTTATTTAAGGATTCAAAAATGAAAAGAGGTAAAAAACTTTCAATCTTTTAAAAATTATTACCCTTATATTAATTATTAATATTTTAAGAATAATTTTCTCATGTAATGTCTCAAAATTATTATTCCTTATGATTGATTTAAATTTGTTTCAAGTATTTTGTAGTAATATTTAATCAGCAATTTAGATAATTTAGTTTTTACTTCCAGGTTTTTGCCACTGTCCTGGCAAAAACTCCAACCCTGCATACTGTTACATAGGAGCAGAGCTGAAAAAAAAATTTTTTTTTCTGTTAATTTTTATTATTACTTATTTCTCATAAGATAAGACAGTTAAGAGGCTCTATCGAAAGGTTTTGTAAGCCGTTTTTGGTCCACGGTATAAGACAAAATTATGAAATTTTGTTTGCTGGCGAGTTGTAGCATTTTTAACTGAGAAAATAAAAAAGCTTTGTCCCCA